AGAGTCAAAACCTGTGTGTATGCCCCCGGCATCAAAGTCCCAGTCAAAATTTGCTGAAGCCCAACACATAATTCTAAGTAACATTGTGAGCATGCATAAAAATTGTTGTTGAGGTATGCTTCGTGCTCTTAGAGTCAAAACCTCTGTGTATGCCCCCGGCATCAAAGTCCCAATCAACATTTGCTGAAGCCCAACACTTTATTCTAAGTAACATTGTGTGTGCATGCATAAAAATTCTTGTTGAGGTATGCTTCGTGCTCGTAGAGTCAAAACCTGTGTGTATGCCCCCGGCATCAAAGTCCCAGTCAAAATTTGCTGAAGCCCAACACATAATTCTAAGTAACATTGTGAGCATGCATAAAAATTGTTGTTGAGGTATGCTTCGTGTTCCTAGAGTGAAAACCTCTGTGTATGCCCCCGGCATGAAAGTCCCAGTCAAAATTTGCTGAAGCCCAACACATAATTCTAAGTAACATTGTGAGCATGCATAAAAATTGTTGTTGAGGTATGCTTCGTGTTCCTAAAGTGAAAACCTCTGTGTATGCCCCCGGCATCAAAGTCCCAGTCAAACCCCGCTGAAGCCCAACACATAATCTAAGTAACATGCTGTGCATGCATAAAACTTGTTGTTGAGGTTTGCTTGGTGTTGCTACTCACAAAACCTTTTAGTATGCCCCCGGCATCAGAGTCCCACTCAAACCCAGCTGAAGGTCAACTCAGAATTCTAAGTAACATTGTGTGCATACATTCGGTTGAGGTTTGCTCGGTGGTCCTAGTCACACAACCTTTTAGTATGCCCCCCGCATCAAAGTCCCAGTCTAAGCCCGCTGAAGCCCAACACACAATTCTGTGTGGTGCCTCAGAAAATGACCCATCGAGTTGTGTGTTGATGTCGATAATCACAAAACCTTTTTGTATGCCGTCGTCGCAGCTTCGCTTGTGGCAAGAGAATAGAACACTGCTGTCCCAATGTTACTTAGATGGCACACATGATTAAATATGTGCTGACACATGTTACTTAAAGTTGATCTATTATGCAACACATGTCACAGGAAAGATCTAGTGTTTGGATTATGGTGCCATACAGCTACTTAGAGCACATGCTACCTAATTTTGATTGATGCCATACCGCATGTTGCCTAGATTTCTTCGATGTCACATGTTACCTAAAGCATATGTTACCTAGATTTCTTCGATGCCAGATGTTACCTAAAGCACATGTTACCTAGATTTCCTTGATACCACATGCTACCTAGAGCACATGTTACCTAGGGCAGGCCGTGAAAACAACATGCCATTATATATTTCTAAGCCACACGAAGTCTCGGTAGAATCTATGCGGTGCCGGAATGGAAGAGGAGCCCCCTCCAAAGCGGTTGAGGCGAGGTGGAGTGCAGCAGAGGCTCCAAAGAGTTGAAGCCAGAAATGATGCAGCTCCTGTTGCGAGCAATCTGGCACATGAGCTGTTGGAGCGATGGTCGTGGGGCGAAGTGAGCCCTCAGGTGGTCCAAAAGCTGGCAGCTGCCTCCCAAAGGGACTTTCAAGCTGTCGGAGCGACGCCGCCCAGCGAAATCGCTGCTTTAGCTGGCTTGGGATCTGCTGGTCTGTATCCGAATAATATGCACAAGGAGATTCTGAAAATCGCAAACAAGAACAATGCTTTTTCGAAGCCCTTCGCTGTCAAAATGAACCTCAGGGATACTTATAACCTTTTGTTTTTGTAGTTTGCTGGGTATAGTATCTCTAAGCCCTGAGAAAGAAATCCAAATTATAATTCCTGCCAGGGTTTCCCTATCTTCCAGCCAGGAGCTTCAAGCCACCCTGGGACAAACTGCTTCAGACGATGCTTCTTCCACATGTGGTATTTTCTGATCTCTACCACTCTTACCCAGCCGCCTTTGCAAAGTTCATGATGCCTTCTGGAGGTATTTCGAAACTTAAGGAATTCTGGCGCCTTCAGAAGGCGGGTCACCCCGCTTGGCGAAACCACCCGATCGTCAGCAAGAGGTCCTTCGATGCCGAGCATACCCTGCCTTTACAGCTACACGGGGACGGCACCCCTGTGGTGGGGATAGGGAAAATCTGGAGCAGGCAGCTGACCTCCTACACGTGGAACAGCCTGCTGGCGGAGGGGTGGACAAAGGACAGTATGATGCCATCGTGGTTTTGCTTCGATGAGACCGAGGCTGGAAGAGAAACGACAGATGAATTTTTCCGACTCATCTGTTGGTCGTTTGCCTGCCTTGCCAGTGGAGTCTGGCCAGCAGCCAACCACTTGGGTGCAAAGCAACTGTGCAAGTCCACTCATTCAAGCTTTTGCTGTCCGTTTTGGTTTCTGTCTATACACATTATATAACGTGTATCCTAAGTCTTCAAGGATTGAGGGGTGAAGCTCTGTGATAAATCTTGTTTGCAGATAGAATTCGTGGAATCAATTTTGGTTGCATTCCCAAGTTGCAGACCCTACTACCCCAGAACATGTGAAGGCAAAATAGGGCCCTTACATAGTTTCATTGACTTTTCTTTTCGGAGGTCACTCCTATTCTTTTAAAGACAAACAACCAGCAACGACTGTCGCCAGGCAGTCCTAAAGTCCCAGAGAAAAAACCTTCGAGGTATCCCGCCGGTACCGTGGAAGCCCGTCGAGCCGGGACGCCGCTGGCGAATGGACTGCGAGGCATCATCTGGAGTTTGAATGGCGATGCCGAATATTTGGTGCAAAAGCTGCAGTTGCCCCATTACGGATCGAAATCATCCCCATGTGCCCTTTGCAGGTGCAGAGGCGACAATTCCGATTCGAGCTGGCATGATTGCCGAACAAGTGCTCGGTGGCTCACGTTGGGATGGACAAGGGAATCATGGTTGGCATACCCGGAGCGATCATCGAGCGCCATCTTCTCCAATGCCACTGGTCTCACCCCATTGAACGTGCACTACGATTACATGCACTGCAAGTATTTGGGGGCAGACCAGATCAGCTTCGGGTCGGTCCTTGATTTGTTGGTGAGTCACCTCATGGCAGACTCACCACTAACAAATCTGGGACAATGCTGGGACAAAATCGTTACCTCGTACAAGAGACTGGGAATCTCCGAGAGGTATAGAGGCTTCCGAAAGCTGACAATGTTCCAGAGGAAAAAAAATGCCCCAAGCTGAAAGGCAGGGCGGGCCAGATTGCTGCTTTTGGCGAGCCCCTGTTGGAACTTTGGGAGGAGCACATGCATCCTGATCTTGCTGTGCACTGCAAGATCAGGACGTACTTGCGACTGAACATCGCCATGGAGAAGATCATGAAGGAGTGCCGAGCCGAGACTGCTTTCCCGGAGCCCCAGGCGACCAACTTCATCGAATATGCCTTCGCTATGTGCAATCTTCATATGGAGTTGGGGGCACACTTCGAGGCCGAAGGCCTCAAGCTTTTCAGCCCTTTACCCAAGCTGCATCTGCTTTTGCACACGGTTTTGCTTTGCCGCCACATCAACCCGAGACTCACTTGGTGCTACAAAGGCGAGGACCTTCAAAAGGTCAGCAGGAGTTTGGCCGCCAGCTGTGCCCGAGGACTCAGAGGACCGGCGGTGACGGTGAAAATGGTGAGCAAGCTCAGGGCGGCTTGGAACCTGAGGCTGAGCAAAGTCTCTGCAGACTGAGAAGCTCGGGGCGCACCTGAGACTGAGCAGAGACCGAGTGTGAAAAAAATCTGCTGCTGCCGCCGCCAGTTCAGTTCAGGCAAGAAGGGAAGCAGCTGTCCCAGCACCATGAAACATGATCGCTACGTAACATTCTTTAAGTAACATGTGTGCTCTATAAGTAACATGTTCTGGTCTGACGACCAAGGAAAAAAGCTGTCTAAGTAGCATGTGGAACATGATCCCTAGGTAACATTCTCTAAGTAACATGTGCTCGTTTGGAAAAACAAGTTTGGCCTGCTCCTGCTTTTTCCCAAGCTTTTCAAGTTTTCCGCAACAAAATTTCAATGCCATCTGACAAATAACCTTCGGTTATTTTGGTAAATAGACTCGAATTTGCTAGGTTATTTAATCAAATAGACTATATCCTATTTTCTAAATAAACTATTTTCAAGGTTATTCAAAATAGGATAATAGTCAAAAGATAACCTACAAACCCCAAATAGGATAATAGTTAGGAAATAACCTAACCGAATCTAAGAGGTATCTGCCTGCGGAGAAGCTAGGATTAGCAAGGGAGGATTTATACGCGTCTGGGGCGGAGGGTGTGACTCTACGCACGGCTTTGGCATATGCAGCTCGGTTTGTGGATTGGAGGGGATTGACCATCGATGTCAAGTCTGCTTTTCTGTATGCTCCTATTGGGGCTGAGGCAAAGGGCAGGGAAGAAAGGATTGTGGTGAAACCGCCTTCTTTTCTTACAGAGCTGGGTATTCTGAAGAGCACCGATCGGTGGTGGGTTAAGAAGGCTTTGTATGGGCTTCCTACTTCCCCTAAGGATTGGGGCAATTATAGGGATCAGGAGTTCCGTAGTTTGCGACTTAGTTGGGAAGGGGGCAGTTGTGGACTGGTGCAGTCTAAAGCCGATGAATCCTTGTGGTTTATCCGAATGCTGGCTGATGATGAATATGGAGAAGTGGTGGGGCTGCTGGTTGTCTATGTTGACGATTTGGCGGTGTTCTCCAAGGTTGCCATCTGCGAGGCGTTCATCCAAGCTGTACAAGAGAAGTGGAAAACGTCCCCTCCGACTTGGTTTGGTGAGGAGCCTATCACTTTTTGCGGTGTTGAAATTGTGCTAACTGGGCGTGGTTATCGGCTGGCTCAAACTTCCTATTTGAAGGAACTCTTGATTCGGTACGGGGTCGAGGGCACTGCTACCGTGCCTGTGACCAAGTGGACTGAGCCTGAGCTCCCTGCTCATGTTGAACTTGAAGATGTTCGGGCAGCGCAAGGAATTACAGGTGCACTATTGTGGATTGCAACGCGGTCCAGACCAGACGTATCCTTTGCGGTGTCGAAGATGGGCCAGATGGCCACGAAGGCACCAAAGGTCTCCATCGAGCTGGGGATGCAAGTCTTGGCGTATTTAAGTTCGACCTCTCTGCTGGGGATAGAGTACTTGTTCGACGCGGGTTCATACTTCTCTGACCATGGGGGCTTGAGTGTACCGAGAACTGATCATGTGTTGGAAATTTACTCTGATGCCTCGCACTCCCCAGCAGGGGATCGCTCCACTCAGTGCGTGATCATCATGTGGCGCGGTTCGCCACTGGTGTGGGAATCAACGCGCCAACCGTTCACTACTCTTAGTAGTGCAGAGGCAGAGCTGGTTTCGATGGTTCACAGTGTGACGCTCACTGAATCTCTCCAACCCTTAGTGGATGAAATGGTAGGTGGGGACACGTCTATGGCACTTCTAGGCGACAACGCCGCAGCGATCAGATCCTTCGACCTGGCCGGAAACGGCTGGCGTAATCGCCACTTAAGGATGAGGGCGATCTCATGCAGAGAGCGCGTGCTTGCTGGACTTCTGCGTGTCTCTCATTTACATGGTTCTTACCAGGTGGCGGACATATTGGAACCAAGGCCCTCTCGCGAGTTCGTCTGATGCAATTACTTGAACTACTGAACATCCGAGGGCCGCTTGATGTGCGTGAAATCGTGAGTACGGCGCGCATGCTAAGCCGTTTGTCCTTGACGGGAATTGCTTCTGTCCCCTTGACTGCGGAGGCGTTAGCGGGGCTGGCGCTTATAGCAGCATTGCCACGTGCACGGGCTCAACCAGGTGATTCGGACATAGGAGTCGGTTCAGGGTTGTACTCTTGGGCTGTGGGGGTCTGTACCTTACTCTTTGGTCTATTGGGGATAGTCCTTTGGAGGTTCGCCTGTGATCAGGGGGTGCAGGGCCCGGGGGAGCAGATTGCATCACCGGAGGAGGATTGTGAGGGTGATTCGGTTCCTTGCGGGGAGTCTGCCGAGTTAGAAGCGAACGGGGCTGAGGGTTCCGGGCCTAGTGGGGCAAGTGACGACTCGGGAGATTTTTCGATTGAGGGATGGGCCAAAGCTGAAGCCAAACTGCGTGCAGTAGAGGTTGAGACAGGTTTAACGTTCCTGCAACGGGCCAAACTGAGGAAACAATTGCATGCGGGAGGAATAATCGAGGTTCCGGTGTTTCAGCAGAGATATGGTCCACTGCCCTTCTGGTTAACGGGTGACATTGGAATGGGTTCGCAAGTAGCCTTGGGCTCTTCGGATGGTAGTTGCGAGTTGGTTTTGCTTCTGTGTAGATGGGGAGGGCTGCTGATGTCGTACTTTGGTTCCCCTGCTGCTGAATGGGCTTTTCTGCGTGGGTGCTGCCGGAGCTTACAGCGAAACGTAGCACTGCGTTTGTTGAGCGCTCAAGCAAGAGCTGGTGCTACTCAACTTGCTGCTGCCAGTGGGCCGAGGCCTACTGAAACTGAAGGGTCTCCGCAGCTGTTTGGGCTGACAGGGGCGGTAGACAGCGGAGTGCCGACGGGGTCAGTCGCGATGGAATCGAGAGGTTCTGATGGGGAGCTGGAGGTTCCTGAATCGCCTTCTGTTCTTAGCGAAGATTCCGAAGAAGCAGTAGAGTCGGTGCAGTTGTACCAAGAAGGTTCCGAAGAAGCAGTAGAGACCGTGCAGTTGTACCAAGAAGGTTCCGATGAAGCGATAGGTTCGATTTCGGGGTCCCTAGGTGGTTTAGCTGTTTCATTTGCGAGTGGGGTGGCTGATCAACCTGAGGTTCCCATTGGGCCTAGTGGCAGTGTTGCTTTGTCTGGGAGCGGGACTTCTGGTTCGGTAGCTAGGGTCCAGATTGGGGGGAGTTCAAGCAGTCGCGATGCTTTCCATTATGCTGATGATCGATCAGAGGATGAAGGAGTAGGTAGTGCTCCTAGTCATGGTATGAATGCGGCGGTGCCAGAGCTGTGTTACGAAGACTACGTCGCTCCTGAAGGAGGAAATGTAGAGTTCCCTCTAGTAGGAACTTGGTTGACGGTTCACTATGTAGTACAATTGTTGTCGTATGAGGGGGTTCGATTGCTGGAATTTCTAGGACTTAGGTCTGAGAATTGCCTAGCGTTGAGGGTTGCCTCGGCCTACTTTAGACAAGCGGTAGCATCGGCAGCTGCTGACCTGCTGCGACTGGGTCCGCTGGCGGTAGCCTTTCATGGTCCTCAATGGGTTTTGACGGTTGAGCATTATCTTCTAACCGGGGAGGTTTTAGGTCTTGTCAGGAATTCTGTCGAAGTGCCTTCCTCTTCATCTGGACCGGTTTTTCCGTATGTCTGTTGGGGTTCTCCGAATGTGGTCCATTACCTGTGGAGGGTCCTTGCAAGTCAGGGTCACTTGGTTTTGTCCATGTTGGGAGAAAGAGCACGTGAGCGGGCTTTCGTTAGGGCAACTTCGAGGGATTTCTTCAGCAACATGATCCTTGCGATTATCTTGTGGCTGCAAGCCACTGGCACGAGGCGACAGGCCGATGGGGCCGTGGCGTTTCAAGCTGCATTTGCCTATCTCCAGACTGGAGAAAGGGAGTATCCGTTCCTTGAAAGTGAAGATGAGACCCTGGATGACCATCCCCATACTGCCCCTAGACCTCAAGAAGTAGTGGTGCAACGGTTTGCATACGCAATCGACGATCTCTCATCAGAGGAATTTTCCTCCTCGACAGAGGAACCGTCTATTGTAGATGCTTCTACTGAGTCGTCTAGTGCGGAAGTAGTTGAGGCTGAACCGGCGCCATCAGATACAGTTCCTACGGAGCTGTTGAGTCTCGGTCAGGGGCTTGTGTATCAGGCCGCTGAAGGGGCGCTGGAAGTGCATTATGTCGATGATGTTCTGCGAGTGCCTTTAGAAGGGTGGTCTCTAGAGGAGGTTGCGGTTGTGGTTCAGTGCCTTCAGACCGGGGATTGGACGGAGTTTTCTGAAGGGCTCTGCGCTGCGAGTGTGGGTCATGGCATGCCTGGGTCGAGTAACGATCCACCTGGACATGCTCACATTGCGGGTAGGCTTCTAAGGGGTTTTCGAAGTGGGCTTGAAGGACTTCGAGGGTTTCTTTGGAGCTTGATCGTGATGTGGTTCCTTGTGCAAAGTGTCAGGGGATACGAGATAGGGGATTCGTCTTCTGTTGAAGGGGATTTTCCTCTTGTGTGGTGTGGTAGCGACCCGAGTTCCTGTTCCCCCACTGGACCCCAAGAAGTTGCTCTGCTGAAGGGGTTAGGGTCGAATAGGTGCGACGGTTCCACTCTATGGGAGCTAGCTAAGGCAGTTTGTCTGATAGGGATCTGGGAAGCTGTACGTTGGATCGTCTCCAACTGGAGAACTCTCCAACATGGCCGGGTAGAGGTAGCCTCTCAAACCCAGGATTTTAATGTGATCCAGCTGCCCCTTCCAAAGGGCGTCCCACATCGGGACCGGATCCTTTTCTCCCTGTGGATTGCGGGATACCAAGTAGATGCCGAGGCCTGTGAGTACTTTGACAGAGTTCGAAGTGGGTTCCACGGGCTCATTGGGGATTACCTCTGTAGGCTTGAGCGTGAAGGGCTTGGGTTTTCAGACGAGGACTCTTCGTCAGAGACTCCGGAGAGCGAGCACATCGACCGGTAGAGGCGCAACCGGTTAGCAGATAGGTAGTCTTGCGGAGATTGAAGGTGTACCCATGGCTCTCCAGTATTGAAATACTGGGCTTTTACAAACTGGCGTCTTAAGCTTGCCGGCTAGAGCTTGGGGATGACTTTGGTTTCCGGTGTTAATAGGAACATTTGGGACGCTAGGGACATGCTGGAATAGTTCTCCGAAGGAGATGCTTCGCTGATGCGAAGGTTCGGAATGTTGTCCCAAAGATGCTTTTGTCCCTCAGCGCTGTTGGTGCTGACCTGTAGGAACAGACGGGCGCAGCTTCACGAAGTGACTTTTCCTTTTAGAGCCCCGATCGCTCATTTCTTGGCGAATTGAGCGAGGGGGAGTGCGTGAAGTGTGCCCAGGTACAGCAGAGACAGGTTGTGCGACCGACGAGGCTGCTTTTGCTTGAAAAGTTTGGTAGTCGCGTGTACCGTGGCTAGGTGTGCTTATCTCGACATTCTTTAGACTTTCTAAGGTCTTTATCTTCACATAACTACTAGTAGAAGGGGTGCTGGAATACGGTAATAATATGTACTAGTACTAATCTTGTTAATACAAGCATACAAGGTAATAAACATAGTAATCACTGCAATACCAGAAATCACCATGATAATAACATCAGGTGAATACTAAATAACAAGAACAAGAATAGTCATGGTATTAGTAATAGTGGTAGTAACAGTCGTAGTGACAGTCATAGTCACAGTACTAGTACTGGTAAAAACTAACAGTAGTAGCAATATTGACAACAAGAATGATAATAATTGTAGTAATGATGACAAGAATATTTTGTGTGCAAGACTGGTATTTTCTAGTGTGACCACATATAGTATAGTACGGAACCTGTCGGATAGTATTGCTACTGAGAAGTGCTCAGGCAATATTTCTATAATCAGCGACAGCTGCCAGCACCCCTGGAGATAAGGCGGCTACACCAGCTGATGCTCTGGGCTCGACATCAGGGTTTTTGGTGCTCGGTGAATTGCATTGGTGGCTTTCCGTGTTCCTGCCCCGAAATCCACTGAACCCCTTTCAATTCCAGAGGCCTCGCTTCGCGCGTCGACGCCGGCGCGGGGGTGCGATGTCCTTGTGTGGTCTTCTGTCTTAGGACTTTGTTTAGATGCCTAAACCCTTCATGAACCATAGAACCCTAATGCAGGGTTGACTAATGGAATTGAGTATAGAGGGGCTTAGGATGAAGGGTCGAGTATAGAGGCTTTGGGCTTAAGGATCAGGGATATGTAACGCCGTTTCTGTAGGGTTTAGGGTTAATTACGTACTTGCACTTCCCCAAATTTCACTAATGAGGGAGACCAAAACACAGTTTTCCCGGATGCTTGGGTGGTTCTAGCAGCATACAAGCCGAAGCAAAACGGTTGAGGCGTTCAGAGTTTAGGGTCTCCAGATGTAGGGGATGGGATTCCGAGACCATTGCGGATTTGGCCCACAGTTGGGAGTTTCCGAAACTTAGGGGTACCTTATTCTGGGGTCCCTATAATTAGGATCCTACTATTTAGGGTACTATATTATAGGGTCCCCTATTTTCGGGAACTCCCAGTTCTTGCCAGGAGCACTGAACCATAATGCTTTAATGCTACCTACTATGTACCTACACAGGACCCAGCTCCAACCACAAGAGACCCAATTCCAGCAGTCACCAGCTCCTAGGTTCTTCAGTATCTCGTGAACCGCAAAGGTATAGTCTCTCCCAGTATCCAGTCTGATTTTGCGACGCCAACTCGAAACAGGCTATACTATAGGTGTACTCCTTCGCGAACTAACTCCAGTATAGTGAAGCCTCATCGATCAAGAGTACTGTTTGTCTTTCCATCTTTGCGTTTTTTCTTGTTTAGTACTGCCAACGGAAACCCAAAACGGTATGAAGTATGCAGAGACATACCTTGTGGACGGGATCCCATATGTAGTAAACCTCTACCGTACTCCCTCGAACTGCTTCTAAAGCATAACTTATCACGGGCTTCGTATGCTGCTATCCAGAAAGCCCAACATCCCCTGTATTGGTCAAGGACTGTTCCTGGATTGAGTGGTACTGGGCTCTCTGGGGATCCGAAAACACCTACTTGGAGGTTCATGGGTAGTTATAAGCGGGGTTATAAGTAGGGTAACTGTACTTCTAACTCATCTTAGGGGACTTATAACCGTACTTATAACTACCCACGAACCTACAAGTATAAGTCCCGATAGAATCCTTACAACACTTCTCCGATGCAGGGGCTGCGCTGACGAGAGGAGGGTCTCGCAGGGTCTAGACTATCTAACGACTTTCTACGTAATTTCCCTGCTACCTGTCTACCAATCTACCAATCTGTCTACCTGATTACCAGTCCAGCCGCTTATCTCCGTGTGTTTCTCTCGCTCTCTCTGTCTCCACCTCTCTCTATTCCCCTGCCTGTCTCTCTCTCTCTCTCTCTCTCTCTCTCTCTCTCTCTCTCTCTCTCTCTCTCTCTCTCTCTCTCTCTCTCTCTCTCTCTCTCTCTCTCTCTCTCTCTCTCTCTCTATCTATGCATATTTTCATATATAAATACACCTTATGTACAGCATATATACATACATACATACATACATACATACATACAGTGTGCGTTTACCTGCATATCGGGATTCCGGAGGAAAGAGATTGAGCCGCTGCATTATTATATTATGAGTTACTTATGCAGTAGAGTTGCCGCATAGCGCGTTTCCCGGCAGCAGTTGGTCTCCGATTCCTGCACACGGAACTCACAATCGAAGGAACTCAACATCGAAATCAAACTCCCGCCAATCCTATTGCAAGGACCTACATCGTAAAGCTTCACAGCTACCTGGAGCTGATCCTAACTCGCCGTTAGTCTAGCCCCAGGAATATGAGACCCGTTGAAGGATACCAGTGGGTGGTTCTGGCAAACCCTAGGCCCCAGTGTTTAGAAGATGCAACCTGTCACGCAAACCCGACATGGAAACATCAGGCCCGAAGCAACCACCAGGGTACTGTTGGGACATCCCTAGCTGCTACGTGCCCTGCGCCAAGATAGGTAGAGATTTTGATTGAACTCAATGTCAATATATGACGCACATACTTAGAGGCCGACAACCCAAACAGTTAACCAGGTCAATGATGGTAGTATGATAACAACTCCCAAAAGGGTCAAGGTCACCTACTCAGCTACTAAGACTAGTCAGGGTGCCCTTCCTCTTGACCTTCGATTCCTACACAAAGACCCCACCTTAGAGAGCCGCAAAGGGCAACGCTCAATGAAATACATCTAAAGCATTCCAACACTCGAAAGGGTCTAAGCAATCAACCCTCAGCTCTAGCCCTAAGCCCTGAGCCCTAAACCCTGACCCTGAACCCCAAAGACCTAAGCCTTAAAGCCCGAGCCCAAAGTCCACCCGACACCCAAAGGCCGAAGCCACGAGCAGCGAATGCAAGCGGACCACACCCTTTCAACACCCCCTTCAAAAGCCGTATAGCTTACCTTAATTAACCCGGAATAACCTACCGTTTTAAGGACTTATATAAGGAAATCATACTAAGGAACCCTAAAAAGGTAGGTTATTCGGGGTTAAGGTAGGGGCTGGGTATGTTAGCCCAAACATGGTTAACCTGTTAAGTACGGCAGGATTATATGAACCACAAAAGGTTAAAGATTACCTACTCAGCTACTGAGATAGTGCCATGGTAACGTCCTGAAAGACCCGGCTGACAAACAAACCTTTAAAGCACCCTACTTGACCGTGCAGAACAGCAGAGGCAGAAACATTCACAATTTTAAGATTTGGCTCATAATCTCGCTATCAAGCCCAAATGCAAGCGGATAAGATCTCTAGGAGCATTTTGAAGCCTACCCACAACCCCAAACACCTAAACCCTCAACGCCAAAAAACGTAAAGCGCCAAACGCTAAACCCCAACACCACAAAATCGAAACCCCCAAAACCCCCAGACCCAGACCCTCTAGACTTGCATTCTCAAGTAAAGCATAAAAGAGGAGTTTGATGAAGCCCACGGCCTACCCAAAACCCAAAACCCACCCCAAACCCTCAAGCTGCTCGCTGGGATCTTCCAGGCCCCCGGCGGCGAGCTCCTCTTCGCCCTCCTCCTGGTCGCTGTCGTCGGAGCTCGGATCAACTCCTCCTTCGGCTAGGGTTTAGGGTTTACAGTTTAAAGGCCTTCCAAACGCCTTCAGGAACCCTTTAAGGAGTTATTCGTACATGATTGTGATGATTGTTGTCGTTACTGTTACCAAGTAACAAGAACGACAATATCCACGAAGATCATATACTAAAGGGTTACTCGTAGCATTATAAGAGTTGCTGATTATGATAGTACTTTTATATAATTCAGTACAAGCTAAACGGTTACTGGTAGCATCATAAGATTGATGATACCGCAACAGACGGGGATCTGTAAGTTAAACGGTTTCTAATAGCAACCATTCCAAGCTTTAACTGTTACTAGTAGCACCATACGATTGATTAAAAGTTAAAGGTCTGAAGCGCTCATAACCCTGAACCTCACACCCTATACCCTTGAACCTAAAACCCTAAACCCTCATTGATTATGAGTTAAAGTGCTGAAGCGCTCGATCTCCGCTCCTTCCAGGACTTCGGGGCTCTCGGCATCCACGTTGCACACGGGTGGCTCCACCTGAAGCGGGGTCGGGCTCAGGGTTCGGCGTTTAGGGTTGGGGGCGTAGGGGTTTAGCGTTTAAGGGTTAAGGGTTGGGGGCTTAATTAGGGGTTTAGGGTTTAAGGGTTAACCCCCAAACGCCTAAACCCTAAGCCCTAAGCCCTAAACCCCCAAACCCCTAAACCCCTAAAAGCCCAAACCCCTAAACCCGGCTTGGAGGTTTAGGGTTTTTGGGCCATAGAGCCTTTGTCAGGGGGGTTTCATACCGGCTTTATGGGGTTCTATATGCGTTCACGGTCTTAGAGGGTCTCTTGATAAGCCTTAAGAAGGGGTGTACAGGTATCTAACAAGTAAATCTTAGAGACTTTTCTTGTGCGTTGAGTAAGGTTCGATTTTCTTAGGGTTCTTTGAAATTTCTGACACAGGGTAGGGTTGACATTAACGCGACGGGTGTGTGGTTGATGGAAAGAATAGAGCTGAAGTTGAGGAGGCTTTTGGCGAAAATCGGTGACCCCATTATCGTACTTACGTAGTAGGATCCTTATTATAAGGACCCAAAAATCAGGTACCGTAATTTTCGAAAAAGGTGGGTTGGCATCATTTCAGGCTTTGATATAGACTGTGTGCTAGGATGCCCAGTAACCTAGGAATGCAAAGGGCTCTCTTTTTGGTATTGGGTACCCTGATAAGGAACCGAGGACTGCAAAAAAGGGAATAAGGGTACAGCTGGGCATCCTAGTGTGTGAGGCTTTGTACCAGAATGTCATGAGGCTCGAATGATGGTTTCCTGGGCGTCTCGCAGGAGGCAATCATGAATCAACATTCTGGGAAAGGGCTGCGCTTCTGGAAAGGCTCCTGGGGTACAGTTCATACAGGGGCCTGCAGTGTTGGAACAGGGTTTTGGGGTAGAATGTAGCAGAATTCTGACATGGAATCCCAGACAAACCTTTGGGGTGTGCAATCAAGCTTCTATGGTTGCTGACTGTAGCCGAGGGCGGGAAATATAGGGGCCTTGATGATTCGAAAAGGGTTTGGGTGGATATTGCACACCCCAACCCAGTATCCCCAAAGACACACCGAAGCCGCGAACCTCCTCTCCCAGTGACTCACCGAAGCTTTGGGTGGAGAGCTGGTACCTGCTCGGAGACTAACCCTTATTATCATGATGATTCTTTTTGTTCTTACAGTTCTTCTTGTCCTTAGTATGCTTACAGATATTACTCTTATCGTTTAAACAAACGGTTATTCTCATGCAACATGCTTGCCACCTTTCCCAACGGTCCGTGTACCTGTAGAATTTGGACTTGGGTCGTAAGCTAACGATAAAGTCTTGGGTATAATAAGATCCAATCCTTAGACTGTTCTGGGCATATGAGACGTGCCTCCATGGTATGTAAAACGGCCCTATAATTAGGATTTGAAGCGCGCTAACTATTAGAAAAAGGCTCGGTTTCAGGCATGTTTGAGGGGTTCTATGAAGCAGAAAGAAGGGTTGTGATGTTGACGGAACTTAAGTGCCTTAGTTAGTCATTAAAATAAGTTTTTGGGTATATGCACTATAATAATCATAGTAAGGAATCCCCAAAAAGACTTGGTGGCCCCTGTACGTTAGTACATGGGAGTGCCACGAGAGAAAAGAGAGCCTGGCCGGGGTGTTGGGACGGTTTAGGGTTTAGGGTTTGCAAGTAAATACTTGGATGCGTTCATCACACAGAGTGGATTCCGCAGTCTGTCATGCGCAAGGTGAAATAGGAGTTTCTGCAGTGCTGTGCCCTGCCTCCCTCCGCTCTTAGCCTTCAGCTGCACTGACGCTTCCGCTTGAGCATCTCTGCTACTTTCATGGTAGCGCGGAGCCTCATCTATTGAAGGTGGGGCTCGCTTGGTGATCCAGGGACCTAAATCGAAGAGGCTTTCAGCTGCAAGGCCGCTGAAAGAAGTGGAGTAGCATGGCTACAAGCGAGATCGTGCGCACTAAAGATGGGGTGCCGCAGTGGGATGGCAGTGCAAACAGTTTTACCTCCTACGAGGAGGCCTGCTACCTGTATGAAGCCGGCACGGAGATGCACAAGAGAAGCCTGTGTGGACCGAGGTTGATCTCGGAGCTCACAGGAGCCGCGAAGCGGATGGTCTCCGGCCGCAGCCCGACGTGGGTGTCGAAGTATGATGGTGTTCGGACTCTGATGGAGTACCTCAGGCAATGCTTAGGCAAGCTCCAGATACCAGAAATGACAGAGCATCTATCAAGATACTTCAAGCACTGCAAGCGTCGAGCACAAGAGTCGATGAACGAGTACATCACGAAGAAGGCAGAGGCCTACCTGCGAGCCGAGCAGGCTCTTCAGCGGGTGGTAGCAGGACAGAAGAAGAAGAGCAGCCCTACGGGAGTCGCAGACGGCAGCCGTAGGAGCGAGACATGGGACTGGTACAGCAGTCGCCGAGCCAGCGCAGACAGCACCGCCGACACCGAGGCGGATCGTGATGAGGGCGCCGATGACGAGACGGGCGCCCACAACACCGAGGCGGCCAGCAGCGGGGATCGTGACTGGCAGGATTGGTGGAGCAATGGCACATCTTGGTCGTGGAACTACGGCTACGGCAACTCCTATTACTGGGGATCGTATGGGAGTTGGGAGCCGTACTACCGCTCCTATGGGTGGCAATCACAGCAAGAGAGTGAACCCGTGATGCCGAAGGTAGAGCTGCTGCCTTCGTTTGTGCAGGGATGGTATTTGCTGCAGGATGCAAACCTCAGTCAGACTGAGCGCAACCTCGTGCAGACCGCGCTCGGAGGCAGCTACGAAGTTGGGCGAGTGGCGCAGGAGTTGCGCAATCAGTGGAGCGACAATGAGGTGAAGCATCGGGATCAGAATCGCCACTCTGGCTTCATGGGCGAGACGCTGAGCGACAGCGAAGGCCATGAAGGCGAGGAGCCAGACCAGGCTTGGGTTTCTCGGGAAGATTGGGATGAAGAGGCCAAAGTGGCCATGGACGATGCCGAGACCGAGGCCCACCAGGCGATGGCGGCCATTGCCGCGGGCAAGCGCACTTTGCGCGAAGCCCGCTACCGGCAGAACCAGGTGAGACTGGGAAGACAGTACTATCGGAACGGGCCCAGGCAGCCTACAGGATCTACGACATCCGGAGCTGGACGGAGTTCCAGTGGAGGCACTGGGAATCAGCATGGAGACGCCAATATGACGTGTCTCAAATGCGGAGGCACGGGCCATCGGGCGGCTAACTGCAAGGACAAGGGACAAAAGGCTATGCAAGCAGAGCATGAACCTGATGAACAAGCCCCCTTTGTCTGTTTCAGTGACCGAACCGTGGAGCAGTACGCCAGCTTTGCCGAGCCCGCCGATGATGAGAAAGCCTACATGGGAGAGGCGGTTTTGACTACAGCTGAAGCGGTGCGTGAAGGACACGCCATTCTGGATGGAGGCGCAACACGAACATTGGCCTCCGTCTATGCGGTGGAGTGTCTCATGAAGAAGAACCAAGGACACCACGGTCAAGATCGAGTGAAGAGTGTGGATGTGCAGAACACGCCCACCTTTGGCTTTGGCAACTCGAGCTCGGACCGTTGTGTGAGCACCGTGGACATCGGCCTGACTGCCAACGGCAAGGAAGGCCAGATGTCTATCCACGTCCTAGACAAAGGACAAGGCCCGATTCTCCTTTCGGTGGCCACTTTACGCCATCTAGGAGCCTTAGTGGATTTCAGCAACGACTTGGTCGTGTTCCGGAACTTGAGCAAGAACAAAGTGATCAAGGTGGGAAGGTCCACCACGGGACATCAGATCCTCTCCCTGAAGGATGACCTTTACAAGAACGCGACAGAAGCAGCCTGTGACATCCCTAGCTTGCTAGATTTTCTGCAAAAGCCAGAATAGGGACATGACCTTCCGACTCTTACGCCTGAAAGGGGTAGGAAGGGCCAGTGTGAATCAGGCATGCTTGGGGAGATGTGTAGCGGTAGCAGACGATTTCCGGAAGCGGTTGATAGTCAACATTCTATTGCTTTTTCGAAGCCGAGAGTGAAGCATTCCTTAGAGAGCGCATTGCAGAAGCCAGATTTCTCGAAGTGTGTTTCCGAGCATACCTCCGGTACTCCATCAGCTACCTCCCATGGACTCCTTGACCAAGGCGGCAATGATCCAGATGCTGGCCGACATCGGGGAACACGTTCCAGAGAGTTGGAGCAAGTCCCAGGTGCAGCATCGCATGGAGGGTGTCTACAAAGCCAGGGGTCTGGACTTGGGAACAGCAGTCAGCAAGAGCAATACCCCCCTTCGTCAGAAGATTACGGAGTTGAACACGGCATCCCGAAAGAAAGCCGACCTCGTGAAGCTGCTGACCCAAGACTACATGATGGAGATCAACGGCAATCACACCATCAAGCAGCTCCAGAGCAAGGCCCTGGACTACATCTACGAGCACACGGCGTGCTCACAGAACGACTTGGTGGCGTTCGGCCGCCACGCGGAGATGACCTACATGGAGTTGAAGAACAGCTACCCCCAGTATTGCGACTGGGTGCTGAAGACGAACCGCGAAGAGAAAGAGTGCTCCATTCACCTACGTCGGCTGGCCATGTGGTTGGATCAGGAGAAGTCGGCTCCCATCCAGATGAGTCAGGAGATGAGCGCGGGGATCCTGGTGGAGCCGCCTCCCGAGGAAGGTCCAGCTCCATCCGAACGGGTGGTCCAAGCCAAGGCAAAGTCAACAAGTCGGGCATCGCCAAGAAGGTCCGGATATCGAGCCCAGCCGAGCTCACCGGGGAGTGTGGTCAGCGGCACAACAGTCAAGACCGAGGTGCTGGAGACCCTCCTGCACACCGTGAACGAGCTACGCGAGGAGGTGGCCAACCTGAAGGAGGAGCGGTCACGGAAGCGAGAAGGACGCCAGAGCGCGCCCAGCGAGTTCACTGTTGTGAGTGCCCCGCCTCGCGAGCCAGAGCTGTGAGCCCTGGTGTACCATGTGAGGCTGAGGATCCAGTTGCTTGGGAGGGCTGTAAGAAGGGATTTGAGTGTTGTCAGCTTTCTGTGTCCCAGGCCTCTCAGTTGGAGGAAAAGGCTTGGGCTTTAGCTCCTCAGGTGTTTCAGGGTTTGATAGGATATGAACCGCCCGTAGTCATGGAACTCGGCGGTGGACCGGAGAGTCCACTCTCACAGGCCATATGTAAAGTGACCGGTCGCACTGATGCAGCTGTGAGGTGTGCGGAATGGAATGGCGTGGATGTGTCTCAGACTACTGGGGTTCGTTTGGCTCTGGAACGTTTGAGGCTCGAGAGGCCCCAAATTCTGTGGATCCGCACACCTAGCAGCCCCTTTTCGCAGTTTCAGAGTATGAACCAGAAAACCGAAGCACAACGAGAAGCCTTGCGTAAAAAGCGCCAACAAGCCCAGAGGAGGTATGTAGGAGGGTTGTGTGTGGCGGAATCGGCTGTTCAGCAAGGAATACATGTGGTGTGGGAGTGGCCCGACTCATGTCAGGCCTGGAGGCTTCCGGCGATTCAGAAGTTTCAAGAGCGCCATAAGATGTTCAGTGCTGTGACGAAGGGTTGTGCTGTGAACGATAGGGATGCTAGCCAGAGACTGCGCCGACAAGGTTGGAAGCTGATCACCACACATGCACGACTTGCTCAACACATGAACCTGCCGTGCCGCTGCGACCCTAGGTATCAACATGCTGCTTGCGAACGCATTAGTAGCGAAGGCATACATGAGTACACGCATGAGTATGCACACCGCGTGGCCCGGCTTTTGACTCAAGAGCTGAGCTACCAGGCCGTGCAGCAGGAGTGCATGGGGCAGTCAGAACTTTCGGAAAGTTTCGGAAGGGGTGAGTATTGTGTGTGTGGAGATTTGATGTGGCCGGGTAACCCCCGGACTTGTGCGGCATGCCTACTAGGACGCAGTGTCCTTCCTGCGAGTTCGGAAGAACAGGAAGCGAGGACTTCGGAGCTTGATTGTGGAGGCCCTAGGTCCGAGGCAGGGATGTACTGTAGAGAGGAACAAGCACAGGTTGAGGAATGGGCTAGGAGTCTTCGGTTACAAGGGAAGATGGATTTCAAGGATTGCGAAGAGTTTCTTGAGAGGTTTCCGACTAGTGCGCTCAAAGGTAAACGGTCAATGGTTGAAGGCAAGGCCACGGAGTATCAGACCTTTGGAGCCTTTAGTCATGGATCTCAGTATGGAACCACAGTCGTGAGTCAGCAGTTTCCCGAAACCCTGAAGTACCTTAACAGTTTCCTGAGGACTCACACCCAACGTAGTGATCATTGGTCATCCATCACCATTAATCGCAACCAGAAACTTCCGATTCATCGTGACGTGCACAACAGACCTCAAGAGTTGAGCCTCATTTGTGGTTTTGGTAGCTACACTGGGGGCGCGCTGTGGGTTGAAGATCCGGATGTGGATGATTCGGAGAAGGTTGTTCAGAGACTTCCCGACGGTAGGCAAGTGGCAGGGAAAGAACTTCCGGTGCGTCATCAGCTTCAGAGGTTTGATGGGAAAACTTGGCACGGGCCCTCACAGTGGTCTGGGAACAGGATTACGCTGACAGCATACACCAGTCGAGGTGTGTCAGAGCTGGACTCCGAACAGCGTAACCAGCTAGGACAGTGGGGTTTCAAGCTTAGGCCCAAGTATCCGAATCACTCAGAGGCTTGTGTGAGTCTGGAAGAGAGGCCCCCATCAAACGAACAAGAAGCCTATCCGGCCCAGGAGGTTCCCCCAAGGCCCCATGAGAGGAGAGATGAGCGAACTAAGAGAGAGAGAATCCGGAAGCAATTGTACTTGCTGCATTCGGCTACCGGTCATTGTAGCACGAAGTACTTACTGGATGCCTTAAAACGTAGAGGGGCCCCGGCTGAGGTTTTGGAGGAAGCTGAGAAGTTTACGTGTTCCGTTTGTGCCGAGAAACGACGTGTGACGAGCCGACATGTGGCTTCTTTGGAGCCCCTGCCGCCCAAGTGGGCGACCGTGTCAGCGGATGTGGGACACTTTCAGCATCCGGATAGTAAGGAGCATGTGCAGTTTCTTTTGGTTCTGGATGAGGGTTCGAGATTTCGGACAGCTCGTATTCTCACGAGGGGACTGAAGCACGCTCCGAATGCGGTGTCGTGTTTGCGATACTTTGAAGAAGGATGGTGTCAAATCTTTGGTCACCCGAGAACGCTGAGGTTGGATCCTGCAGGTGCCTTTCGAAGCCATCTAGTGGAAGAGTATTGTGATAAACACGATATTTACCTTGATATCATTCCCGGAGAAGCGCACTGGAAAATCGGAGCTTGTGAAAACGCCATCAAGGGAGTGAAACAAGTTATGAGTAAGTTGTGTGCGAGTGAACCGAACATCAGTCTGGATGAAGCCTTGTCTACCGCCATTAGGACCTTCAATCAGCGTGACATGGTGAGAGGGTTTAGTCCGGTGCAGCACGCGTTAGGAAGGAGTCCCGATGAGACTGGACGCATGCTTGAGAATGTTCGTGAGCTTCCACCGGAAGTTCTGGTGGAGAATCCAACCGGGGAGTTTGAGCGCACAGCGAAACTTCGTTTGGAAGCAGAAAAGGCTCACTCTGAATGGCAAGCCAAACAACGACTCAGCAGGGCCAACAACTCACGACACAAACCTGTGTTAGATTACGAACCCGGGGAACTTGTGTATTTCTGGCGCACGCAGGAATCGGGACAATCCAAGAAGAGCCCAGGAACAAAACAAGGACGTTTCCTCGGACCAGCACGCATTCTGTCTGTTGAAACAAATCGTGAACCTGACGGCACCTTAAAACCCGGAAGCTCTGTCTGGATTGTTCGTGGTAGGAGTTTGATGAAGTGTTGTCCCGAACAACTTCGTAGAGCCTCACCACGTGAAGAACTTCTAGAGAGCCTCGCGGAACAAAAGGAGGCACCATGGAGTTTTACAAAGGTTGCCGAGGAAATCGGAGGGAATCAGTATAAAGACATATCCCAAGAACGTCCAGATCCGGAGGAGTGGCATCGAGCACAAGATGTGGAACAAGAGGTGCCCCCACGTAGAGTGCGCCTTACTCGGAAGCGACCAGGACCTATGTCGGACCCTGCCGCCATGCAGGAGGACGATGATGAAGAGGGCCGGGAACCGGCCACGAGCTCCCGCAGGACCGAGGCGCAGTATGTGAGCAGCCAAGCCGCCGAGTTAGGGCTCCCCAGTTTCGTCGAGGCTTCCCCATGGCAGGAAGAGGTCACAGACACGGCATGGACGGCGGAGCACACTAGTTACTGGAGTGACGAGTCTTCTGCTGTCATGATTGAAGTCGAGATGCCAGAAAGCAAGGGAGGGAAGACCCAGATGATGAACCACATGGCGGGGTACTTTGTCGGTGCCATGAAAAGAAGAGCCATCGAGATTAGCGAGAGACGGTTGAGTCCTGAAGAGAGGGCCCAGTTTCGAGAGGCAAAGGCTATCGAGGTTCGTAACTTTGTGGCGGCCAAAGCGTTTGAAAGTCTCCCTGAACACTTGAAACCCTCCCGTGAACAAGCAATCGGCATGCGCTGGATCCTCACGTGGAAACTGAAGGACAACGGCGAGCGAAAAGCAAAAGCAAGGGCCGTCCTTTTAGGATATCAAGATCCCGCGTATGAACACCGTGCAACAACCGCTCCAGTCATGACGAAACAGACCCGACAATTGCAACTGCAATTGACCGCCAACCGACGTTGGAAAATCCAGAAAGGAGACGTTTCAGGTGCATTTCTCCAAGGGCGTGAGTACAAGGACAAGCTGTTCTGTGTGCCATGTCCGGAGATATGTGAAGCGATGGGCATTCCCGAAGACAGCATAACGCGGTTGCGAAGGGCATGCTACGGCTTGGTAGACGCACCTTTGGAATGGTATCGTACTGTGGC